AATTGCAGATTAACTCCTGCCTAAGCCTACCCTTTACCAGATACTTGGTATCAGTTACATTCACCGATTTTTCTGTGAACTAAGCCGTTTTCTTCTCGGGTCTCGGGAACGCTTCACCGATTTTTTCCGACTTACTTCAGCAGATTACTATACAAACAAGATTTGCTTGTATCTCGTTACTGTACTCCTAGTGCAAGTCGAATGCATGGCGCACCCCAACGTGGAGTTGTTCAGCTATTATCACTTGGTTTTTCAATCCTTATTATGCACTAGTTCTAGAGATGTATTTAGATCCTGGTCTCGATCAGTTGTTGCCAGCAACCTTCTCCGACGCCTTGTCAGTGCCAACCTGTGCAACCTGCTCCTGCTCCTGTACCTCAAGTGGTTAGTGATTTGTACTTTTCTCAGCCGCAAATTAGAACAAGCTCCAAGAGCAAGCTCAACTTACCAACAATACCACTGTTTTTTCGATGATCAGCAAAAGTGAGAATCACAAGGGATTGGGTCGAAAAATGTAGAGGCCCATCCGGAAACCTACGAAGGTGTTACTCCGTAGATCCTCAACAAAATTTTCTGAGGACGTCAAATATCCATGCCAACATTCCAGAAAAAAAACCTTGCGAAATGAACTTGCTTTACTTACTATCTCGCTAAGTTGACCTCTGGTACACTCTAGTAGAGGGGCTCTGTCTAGAGTATGCGGTGTCTGCGGTAGGAGGTGGTGTACTGGCAAGTGTCGCACTTACCTCGGCATAATTCAGGGTTTAAATTCGGCTTGAGTCTCTTCCATTTCAACCACGTCTCATAGCCATTCTGAATCTGCAAATTGTTAGGCTATGCATGCTATTGACATCGGCTGGCCCTTGCAAGTCATTGTATAGCCCAAATAGTAGTCAAATGTCATTACGACTCTGCATGCAAGTTGAACGCGTGGCGCATCCCGAAGGGATTGGTACAAGTTTGCAGTAGCTCTGGTGCCGATGAAGGCTGGTCTTACCGGCGAATTCGCTTGGATTCGCAGTTTGCGGCCATCGGCCACCGTTGGCAGCGGGATCGGTGCCATCATTGTAACCCAATTCACCTCACCGTTTATCTGATGGTGTGACTCTAGTAGAAAGGCACGGAAAGAGTATTGCGAATCGAACCTCATTCTTTAAGGTCCGGTTTCGTTTTTTTTTGAATTTCTCTCTACTGAAGTGTTTTGTAAGGGCATCATTTTATCATAAGCGTGGCCTGAAGTCCTGGATTGATTCCCTTCCAGAACCATTTAGCCAAAAGCCACTCATTTTATCTAGGTGCCTGAAGTTGGAGTGATTCCTTCAAACATTTAGCCAAAAGCACTTCAAATCAGAACAGAATTTGGTTGTGTGACGCATTTCATTGATCGATGCCGAATATCTTATGCTTTTCTTTATAACAATGTTTCAGAATTGCCAAACCACGACCACTCAACAGCAGTATTGCCCACAGCAACAGCCGGCCATCGTACAGCCTCAGGCCTGTCCTCTTGGTGAGCGATTATTTCTTTCCGATTTCCACTGTCATCGTTTTTATTGACAATTTAGTTGGAAGAAATTGTATTGAGTTTAGCAGGATTAATTAAAAAAGGTTGGAAATGTAGATGATCCATTGGTAATACTGCGTGGATGGGGTGATTCGGCCTGCACTAGGGCCACCCAGTCCATATTTTCTAGTGTTGTGAGCGTCCGTGAGTCGTTGTTTACCATGCTGATGAGAACAGAACAACAGTAACTTTCGTCATTCTCCTTTTTGTCGGTAACATAGGGGTTCGCGAGGAATTTCGTGTTTTAGTGACGGTTGACGGAGAAGATATTATAACAAGCATTCGGGACCAGTTATTACCTACAGAGTTCACCTAGCCTCAAGGGCATGGCCCACCCTCAGTTATATCCAAATGTAGAAGTGTGGATGTTTAGCTAGACAACCGGTTAAAAAAAGAACATGAAGCTTTTGGAAACACCGAGAATGTCCCGCCTTTGCTTCACGTTGTAAAGACTAAAAGGCAAAAGTCGAATGTGAAGTTCCTGAAGGAGGGGAGAAGGTGGGTACAAGATCGCCTAGACGGATAAGATTACCGCCGGTTAGTCCATGGTTACTGGCCTATTAGAATCATGTTTTGAGCTCCCAAGTCTTAACGGAGTCGAGGCACGAAAATAGCACGGCCTTCGCAGTTGCTGACCCAGAAAATTCATGGAGGGTTTTTGCAATGGAGTTGATCGCGTGATGTGCCTTTAAGTTCAGTTTGGGTGACAGTTCGGATACTGGGGGCTCGAGTTCGAGTATTGGGTGCTATACAAGTAGGGTGGGCACGCCGCATTTTTTGAACAGAAATGTATGTCAGTGGGACTGCTGCTCGCTACTATACTGTCACGAGAATTGGGGAGTTCGTGAGCCAGGGGGAGTGTAGCCAATCTAGGGGGGTGGGGGGTGAGGGCAGTCACTTGACATGCGTGAAAAGCTGGGTGTGCCCACCCCACTTGTATAGCACCATGATGCGTATAAAAAACTTCTCACACAATAGTCAGCAAGTTTTCACTGAGAGTCAAGAATTTTAATTTTTTGCAGAGCATCAAGCGTAAATCTTAATTCAAAATCGGACGAGTTGGTTGATAGTATAGAACAACTGTAGACTTTCTACCCTCGCCCTATTATATTGGTGGAAGTTGAAAATGATTGAAAACTGATATGGGACTGTTCAGTACAAGGAGGAGTTCAAACGGCGCAGTACCAAGGCATCTGCTCGTGGATGGTTGACCCGCTGGCGACTGATTCTCAGTCACGATCCCACTATCTACAATGTCAACCGGCCCCCAATAATCTGTTCTGTGGACGATGGCAACGCATGCCATGTGCACCGGGTACTGTATTCGATGCACAATCTCAAGTGAGTATCACTTTTTGGTTTTTCTGCAACCTGCCATAAAATGGTCACGGTATTTAGATCTGCGTCTGGGACACCCAGGGATCGCCGGCCACTCTGCCAGCAAGTACCCCCTATGTGCCCACTCAAGCCCCCCAGGCTCAGTGTTCCTGTGTCGGAGGAGTACAGATCGGCTCTTGTAATCAGAATTACCAATGCCCTGGACAATCAGTTTGCCAAGTTGGACAGAGTGCTGGAAGTCAGGTGAGCGTTCTCATATCGAGTAAGGCGTCATTTACAAAGCGCATGGCCCGGGGGTCAAATATCCGATTGAAATTCGTCAAGGCCAGCCGGAAGTGTACCATCCCACCAAGGTCGACTATTAGTAACAGACTCTCCTGTAGACATGAAACGTACCGAACTCAAATGACGGCCACACAAGTCGTTGTATAGGCCGAATTGCACTCAACTCCAAAATGACCGTAGATAGAAGTAGAACGCACGGCGCATCCCCAAAAGGGTTCGAAAGACGCCGAGTCAGCCGGGCCTTTATGTTTTTCATTTTTCTTAATGATCCAACTGATTTAAAAGAAGGAATTGCAGTGCATGGTATGCTGCTATTTCCGTAGAAAGTCTCGTCGTGTCTGGGAACGCTTTTATCATCGTCATCGTCGTGGTCTCCGTCATCGTTGAGCCTTGGAATCGCCGACTTTCTGTACATAGAGTGCTGATTCATTTTACTAAGTATTTTGTGAGGTGACCTAATAATACTATAGGGCAATCGAATGTGAAGTAATTGGAAATGTTATGCCTTTACTATGAGGTCCAGTGATCCGGTCGGTGTGCTCGACCGGCACCAGTATGCGCATGATTTGCACTTTGTGGATTCACTCTGATAAAAGCGGTTTATTTATTGATGTTATCACTTTCGAGAAATCAAAAATTTTTATTACCAAAAACAAAAATCAAAGGATTGCAAGAAGGATTCAAAAAGTGCCTATTTGGAATAGGCATGTTCGAGTGAGCACCACCTTTGGCCTGAACTATCTTCAAATTAGCGGTTATTTATTTTTCAAAATCTTTTATCACCATCCTGCCGCTACTATTTCATTTGGACTGTACACTTCTCGAGGTCGTTTTGGAAAGAAACTGTTCAACTACAGGAGCGAGGCCAAACATTGCTAACTTCACACATTCCCACGCGACGCCCTCTTTTCACTTTTCGGTCGCGTGGGACGGACACGATTTTGTGGGCGCCGCCGCCTCACCACATAACCGCAGATTTTGTTTTGTAAATGAACAAAAACATGAATGTCACAAGATAATTTCTGCAATGTCCATATCAACATGGTCAAGTCGCGTCCGGCAAGTACAACAGTAGAATTTGGATCAGAACGACGAATAGTTTTTACGAAGGAGAGATTTATTCCTTCTCCGGAATGTAAAGCCTTTTACACTTGATTCAAAGGGTTTGCCACCTGTCGCCCTGTCTAGAGGCTGGCAAGGATTATCAGTTGCAGCCATATGGCGCCTGATCCATTGTTTAAAGGCAAGAATCAGGATTAAATTGGTGGGTGATTCCACTCAAATGTGAAAGTAGGGGTGGGAGGTGGACCGCCAGTGGAGGAAAAAGGAAAGAAAATCCTGAAATACATATGGAAATATGAGCATTTTGCTTGTGTGGAGATGTTCAAAAACAGGCAGGAAGATGAGAGATAAAGTTAGCACGGAGTGTGGTAGAGAAGTCCAAGAAGAGAGAGCATAACACATACGTGGCGACGCAGACAAGATCGAACGGTGGGGGGACCTGTGAGTTGGCGGAGTCTGTTAGAGGTTCATGGCGCCTAGGGTCCTAGTAACGCTTTTCGAAGTAGGGAAGTGGCGCCTACCTCTGCACTTGCGTACCCTGCACTACTAGTCATGATAAGGGCTTCTTAGGTGGGTCTGAGCCCGAATTTCGCCTTTAAATATTGCTGTGTCGACATATCACCCATTACCATCTCTGGTTTATTCATTCTTCAACTATGCGTTGAAATACAGAAGAAACAGTGGGGACAGGTGAAATCTGCGAAATGACAAGCCATTGGTTACCTTAGAAGGCTCACTAAGAGGGCACCTGGCTCTTGCCCGAGACAGAGTTGAAGAAGGATTGTAAGTGGTAAACAGGGACGAAAATCGACTGAGAATCCAATTACCTTCCTGTGAAGGAAAACATAACCTGAAACAGCATGTGCAAGTTGAAAAGACGAAAAAAGGAACAAGAAAGAACCAAAAACTCTTTGATAAAGGATCCCTCATTCTGGGCAATGGACAAGTCTACGTACGGGCAGAACCTGAAAGCACGGGTAACGATCAAATTCACAGAAAAATACTAGGAGTTCTAGGAGAAAGGCTAGACTAAGGAGCAAAATGTATAGAAGGCGCAGATACCCACATGTTGCAATGGCAAAAAAACGAAAGCAGTCAAAGCTGCTCTTGCAAGGCTCAGCGCCATTTCGCCGATTTCGTGAGAGGAGAGAACACGACTTCCACGACTTTAGTACAGCTCTATCTCAAGTACCAAAGGGTCCACCTCATGTACCTACATGTCTTATTGTGGGGTGTGCCCTCAAGCAAATTTTTCATCTAATCCTCTAGCAAGGCAGAAGACGACGGAAGAAGTATTACCGTTATAGGACCTTATTTTATTTTTTTACCCTAATTCCTAAATGCATTTAGGTCGAATCTCTGAAGTGAAGTCAAACAATGAAGACTGTTTGCAGAGGACGAGTCAAATTTGAGTGACAAATTAGTGGAAGTGACCTCTATATCAAGCTGGTCGAATTTAGTCAAACCATAACGACACCAAGCAAAACCTACTACTTGATGCTTAAAAAGTTGCCTACCTGAGTACTGTTAGAAACCACATACATAGTTTGTGGTGTTACAACGAAAGTAGGTTTGGTCAAGCCATCATAAGCAAGTATCGGTGCTCTTTTCTTCCATCATCACAAGTCTCTAGGGAAAATAATGTGGAGAGAAGTTCTGAAAATTTCCTTGTAGGCTAATTGCGACTATTTTTTATTTATTTTAGCGGCAGGCACTTGGCGTGGCGTCCTAGCGTACTTTTATTTCTTTATTGGTTTAGGTATTTATTCGTTATTTATTTGTCTTATTGGGTTGATTCATTGTTTTTTTATTGCGAAGAGCTTATCAAGGAGAGTGCCGGTGTTGATTCAATGAGTTTGCACAACTTGAAGTTTCGGCCAAAATTGTAATAGGAGAAGATCTAGGAGGCGTACGATTACTTCAAGACAATAATTAATATTTCGCCCATTTAGAGTAGGCGAAATGTTCAGATGGTGTGGGTGGGGACAATGTAGCGCCTTGATTGGTAAAAATTAGGTAAAAAGGGAAAGAAGGCATGGCATCAGGATCAGTGTTGTTCGCTTTACTATTTAGACGTTTGGGTATTTCGGAGGGTTCACTGCTTTTATTAGCATTCATTTATTTTTTATTTATTTATTATTTATTTTATTTATTTATTATTTATTTTTTATTGTTTTTTACTTTGGGATAGCCCAGTCGTGGAAATCAAGTTTCAATACTATTCTGCTACAAAGCAGAATATTAGGCATTCAAAGCAACGTACAGGCGGGGTTTCATACTTGGTGTTAGGGTAAACATGCCAGCAACTAAATTTATAGAATGTCTTTAGTTCAAAACCTACCTCTAAAATGCGCTGGAAGGGGTCGAAGTCCTCTTGGAGGGGGGATCACCCATAAAGAGGCGGATCGCCCAACATTCGCTGTGCAGAGCGCTTGCTCGACTAGCGGTCGTTGCGGGACCGCCGCGCTGTATGAGGTCGATTCCATAAGAACCCAATTGAAGCGCTTCAATTTCGATTGCTGGCAAATAGTTATGTATTTGCAAGCATGCATGGCTATTTGCCAGCAGTCAACTGGAGCGCATGTACTACGGGCAGGTTCGGACAACTCGTCCAACACACATCTCCCTAAACGGCCGGGGGAGTCCCTGTCTAAGCCCCTGCCCGACGTTTTTTTCTACTTTTTCTATCTCCATTGACCAACTTCTCACCTGCAACGTCATTATAGGTGGTCCTTACCCGCGAATTCGTTCCTGGATTGTTGCTTTAATTGAATGTACAACAAGGAAAATTCATCACATCACAAAGGAGGATCAGGAAGAATGCAATTCAGGAGACTACGAAACTTCATAGTTGAGTAGTTTTGCAGATATCTTCCTTTTGAACTGCTTCAATGACATATGGCTATCAATATGACTTTTAAACCAAAATAAGCTACTGATCCCTTTTAAGAGTTCTCATTATTCTCAGTTTGTATCACGTGAATGTTCACCAAAGTTGAACGGAAGAGGTTGGGCCAAATGGAGAAAGGTTCGATTAAGACGATGGATCCTGGAAAAGGCAGTTTTTTTTTCTTTATGTAGATTTTCTACTGCCTTTCCAACCTCTAAGCGCCATAATCGAGTACCCCTACAATATAGAAAAAAATGACAAAGAAGGTGTCGTAAAGCGAAACAAATACTTTGAAAGGTGCATGTGTTTTCTATTTAACGCCTGTATTCAATGAATTTGTATGCTCGAAGAAACGCTACGATATTATGTTCCAACCCAAGAGTAAGAATTGGGAGCAGAAAAATTTCTACAGCAGCAACGTATAAACTGTCCAAACTGTTTACCTCGAAGGAGCGATTGAAGAAAACAAACGTATTGAGGCGTCGAGAAACTCTGCTAGACACTGGATGTACTGAGAAATTCGATGGTGATTTTGGATCACCGATCGCCGTAGTAGATTACATCTTCACGATCGCTCGTTCGATTGTTCGGAACCATCGCGTTTCTCCTAACCGCTCCCATTCAAAAGCCCAATTCGTAAGCAATCTCTCAAAAACAATTTATTTGGACTTGCAACACTCCTCTTTTTTCGATTGTTTCCATTGCTTCTTTCCCATCGTCCGATCTTTCTTTTTCTTTTATTTTTTACCCTCACAATCGGCTGAACTCTTATTTTTCACGACCTGGAATTTTTTGGACCATTTTGACATTTTTTTCCAGAAAGTCAGTATGAGATGGACGCGAACACACGATCGTGCAATGGTGGTCTTCATCTTCTGTGCATGCTGTATATCCTTGAATGTGCTATTTGCGAAAATTCGACGAATGTTAGCTATCAGAGAGTTGGAACGGACGTCGGAACGAGAAGCTCAAATTGCATCCATTATTTATTATAACTCAACGCTATCAGGGTTTGTTTGAGCGATCTCTCTCTTTTCTTACTACAGTCCAGTACTCAGTACGGTACATCTCTTCATACCGTAACTGTCGATGGGGATGGGGCAGTGGCAAGTGGCACCGCTACCGCACAAACCACTTGTTCCCTTTATCGCACCCCTGATCTGTGCCCGCCTGATTCAATAGAGTCCTCCATCTTCGGCGGCGGATCATTAGGATCAGACGCCTCTAGGAAAATAACAATGAGTGCTACATTGGCTGAGTCGTGCAAGTCGATCTCTCGACCAAGCAGGCCTTTTTGTTCCTTTTTTTTTTAAGATTGCTGATTTATTGTCCTTTCAAGTTCTGCGTCCATTGTAGTCGAGAGATTATGCCTACCCAATAAGTGGTGGTTCATAGATCTCATCTTGTAAACACGAGGAGATCTATTATTTTGAAA